CAGCGTATCAAGTAGGGGGAAAGAAGAATAAGTTAGCAATATGTGCAGCATCATTTAAAAATGCTTGTGTTTGTACACAGGGATAAACTTTAGAAGGATATGCTCCAAAGTATCTGAGTGGTGATATTCCAAATGACTTTTTTAAAAAAACAGTTTATTGTTAAGTTGGTTTCCATAGAACACCCAGTGCTCATCTCCACAAGTGCCCTCCTCCATGCCCGAATGACTTTTTAAAAAATTTTTTGCTCTTGGGCATTTTCTGGGTCTTTTCCTACAAGGAAACATTAAATGGTGTATGTTCTTTAAATGAAAAGGGAAGGAACACCTTTTAAAGGCAAGGCAACAGGCATATTTTTGTCACATTTGCACTGGCACTTGAGTTTCCAGAATAGAGCAGAGGTCATGGGCATTTGATTCCTTACCTCTGTGTGGGGAGCGATACAGACATAGCATTTAGGCAGGTGAACATTTGATGAACAGGTAGACGGAAAGTAATTCCAAGTTCTGGAACATGTTGGACTGGAGCTTCCATCAAAAACTGAAAGTGATGGTTTGATGAATACAAATGTTAACCTGAGACAGGAATGTAGTTTCCTAACTAGCAGGTGCAAAGCAGATGACCAAAGGGAGGAGACAGAAGGAGAGAGAGAAGAATCCTTGAGGGGGGAAGGGAACTTGCTGGCACAGAGAAGGAGATTTGATCCGCCACCGTCCGCAAGAACTGCCCTGACACCTGAGACACAAGGTGACTTTGAGGTTTTACAAGGGCTGGACAGGTGTGCAAAAACTAGCAGCGGTTTTCTTTCCAGGGGTTGAAACCTTTTTGGCCCTTTATCTTTCTCTGAAAATCAGCTGGGGAAAAAAAATGGAAAAAAGGAATTTGAAAAAAAGAAAGACTTTCTAAGTAGATAATCAGAAGAGATCTTATTTTTAAGATTTAAATGTTTGGAATCAGATGAAAAACAGCTATTGGTCTCTGCAGTTTCTGGCCACTTTGAGAGCATCTGTGATAACTTCTGTAGGACTTTTGCTACCCCTTCCTTTCTCTTTAAAACTCCAGTGATTCCAGTAAAATTGATCTGTCTCGGATGACCCATGATTTTCTGGTAATAGAGTCTACTTCTACTGATTTTTGCTCACGTTTCCCTGGCTTCCTTCCCATAACCTCCTCCTCAAGGTTAAAACTTTTCCATCTCTATCACCTATTTAAGAAATTTTTTTTTAAATGTATTAAGTTTGAGAGAGAGAGAGAGAGCGCGCGCGTGCGCAAGCTTGCACACAGTGGAGGAGGGGCAGAATCCCATGGAGGCTCCACGCCACCAGCCGGAGCCTGATAAGGGGCTTGAACTCACAAACTGCAAGTTTGTGACCTGAGACAAGACCAAGAGTCGGACACCCCACTGACTGTGCCACCCAGGTGCCCCTCTATCACCTATTGTGATGGTTGGTTGGTTGTGCTGCTCTTTCATTTTGCTACTCCCCCAGCTCATCCTGCATGGTCGATTTTCCAGATCACCACTCTCAGTGCCTAGACATGTCATCCAAATACTGTGGCCATGGTCTTCCACAATCCACCTTCCATTGCTAGACTTGCCTCCTGCTGCTGCCCCCTAGCCTGCTGCTCTTTTGTGGTTGCTTAGGTCACTTTCTGTCCCCAGACAAGTGTTGCAGTTCCCAAGCCACCATTCATTCATTCTACACGAAGTTGCAGGGCTGCCATTAGCAAGGCATGAAGCTAAGCCCTCAGAGGAGTTACAGACCTCCATGGCACATGAAGGTCTTAACGGCATGAGGGAAGTCATGGACCACAAATTCAAAAGCCTCTCACCACTGCTTTCTAGTAATGTGACCTTATGCGAAATTAATTTCTTGGGTTCCTCAATTTTCTGATGTGTAATTAGACATAATTCACCTTTTAGGTGAGTTATTATAATTAAATGTTGGGGCACCTGGGTGGTTCAGTCAGTTAAGTGTCCAGCTTTGGCCTCAGGCCATGATCTCACAGTTCCTGAGTTTGATCCCCTTATCAGGCTCTCTGTTGTCAGCACAGAGCCAGCGTCAGATCCTCTATCCTCCCTGTCTCTGCCCCTTCCCTGCTCACACACACTCTCTGTATCTCTCAAAAATAAACATTTAAAATAATGTTATGGGGGGGGCGCCTGAGTGGCTTAGTCGGTTAAGCGTCCGACTTTTGCTTAGGTCATGATCTCGCGGTTCGTGGGTTCGAGCCCCGCGTCGGGCTCTGTGCTGACTGCCAGCTCAGAGCCTGGAGCCTGTTTCAGAGTCTGTCACTCCCTCTCTCTCTGACCCTCCCCTGCTCACGCTGTCTCTCTCTCTCCTAGAAATAAAACATTAAAAAAAATTTAAAAAAATGTTATAGGGGCACTTGGGTGGCTCAGTCAGTTGGGCATCTGACTTTGGCTCAGGTCATGATCTCATGGTTGGTGAGTTCGAGCCCGGCATCAGGCTCTGTACTGATAGCTCAGAGCCTGGAACCTCTTCAGATTCTGTGTCTCCCTCTCTCTCTGCCCCTCCCCTGCTCATTCAGTCATTCGTTATCTCCCTATCTCTCTCTCTGTCTCTCTCAAAAATAAGCAAACATTAAAACAATGTTTTAAATGTTATAAAGTGCAAAGCAGATTGCCAGTCAAGTAATAAGTACTCAAAAATTTGTAGTTCTCTTCCTAACCCCACTTCAATTTTTCAAAGAACTTAACAATTTTCTAGCAGATAAGCTGTTGTAATGGACCTGAGTAGTATAAGCAAGAACCTGGAGAGTTCAGAGAAGACAGCACAGAAACATTTACTATGCTAATCTTAAAATGCTATCAAGAGAAGATTAGGTAAGAGTTTCCTATGAGAGTGAATAATAGAACTAAACATATAAACATAAGAAAAGACCAAGAAGGGAAAGCTCCCCCCTCCTTTGGATCTTTATTCAAAATCCCCCATCTTGGTGGAACCTTCCTTGCTACCCTACTTAAAATTGCATCCCACTCCATTCCCTCCTACCCTATACCCCTACTCTGATTTGTGTTTTCCCAGTTTCCTCACTACCATGTCATGTATTTATCTTGTCGTTTGTGTCTTGTAAAGAATGTCAATTGGGGCACCTGGGTGCCTCAGTCAGTTAAGCATCTGACTTCGGCTCAGGTCATGATCTCACAGTTCGTGGGTTCGAGTCCCTTGTTGGGCCCTGTGCTGACAACCAGCTGAGAGCCTGGAGCCTGTTTCAGATTCTGTATCTCCCTCTCTTTCTGACCCTCTCCTGCGTGCGTGCGCGCGCTCTCTCTCTCTCTCTCTCACACACACACAGAAATTTAAAAAAAAACTTTTTTTGAAAAGAATGTCAGCTCCACAAGGGCAGGGGTGGGTGGGTAGGTGGGTATTTGCTGCTCTATTCCCATTCCCTAGTGGAGTGCACACCAGAATGTTCAACTCTTTACATTGGGGTTCTACGGCATGGAATTTGGCCAATAAAGGTAGAAAATCTGGTTGGAAATCCTGAAAGCCACTAAATAGCAGGGTTTTAGGTTTTTAAATTTATGGAGTAGAAACTCATTATCTTAGTTTTCTTTAACAGAAAACGTATGTTACATTAAAAAATGACAAGAGTTTAAAGATTGACACAAGAAGACAAGATACGAATCTATTGTGGTAGTGCAGGAACTTAGTGAAGAAAGTCTATACTAAGTGGTAGTTAAAGAAATAAATAGAAAGAGACAGTAAACATTCCAGCAGAGTTACTTAAACATGACTGTTAAAACATTAATAAAAGACTAGAGAAATACAGTCACAGAAAGGAGCACACGGGGCAGCCATCCAGGAAATTAAGTAAATGCATATATTCTAAATGTATTTGTGAGCAAAAATAACTAATTGCAAAGAGTACATATAGTGTGATTCCACTTGTATAGATATGTACATAAATATATGCATTTTAATAAATTTATCTGACAAATATACATCCGACTATTAACATGTGCAGAATGGCATTAAGGAAGATCCCCACTGGTCTTTAGTAATATGTTACACAATTCTCTCTCTGGTTACTTTTCTAGAAGCATGTATTTTATATTAAAGTATCTTTAAGTCAAGTTAAATACATCTCACAAAAAAAATACCAAGAGTATACCTCTAATCACACTTATTTTAAATCTATCACCTAAAAACCTCTTGTGACAAAACATATGAGCATTAAAATGTTAGGTACAGTTTGTATTTGGACTAAAAACCTGATAAGGTGACCCTTCATTCAAAAACCGTAAAGAAACCAATGAATGAGGGAGAATGTGATCCAAATTCAGAGACCTTATTCAAGAATGAAGCCACTCATGGGGTGCCTGGGTGGCTTAGTCGGTTAAGCGTCCGACTTTCGCTTGGGTCATGATCTCGCGGTTCGTGGGTTCGAGCCCCGCGTCGGGCACTGTGCTGACTGCCAGCTCAGAGCCTGGAGCCTGTTTCAGTCTGTGACTCCCTCTCTCTCTGACCCTCCCCTCCTCACGCTGTCTCTCTCTCTCTCTCTCCTAGAAATAAATAAAAACATTTAAAAAAAAAAAAAAAGAATGAAGCCACTCTTTTGTTCTAATTTATCAAAGACTCAGAAAAAAATCTCCTAACTAATGAGTAATGAAGACTTGGATAATCCACACAATGTAATCTCCCAAGAAAGGGTTAAAGTTTTAAACCATGGATGTTTCACACACGTTTATTTCATAGTTTATAAGCCATTTAGAAATTTTGTTGTGATGGCCAAAGTGATAAAAAAAAAAAAAATGAAACTAAGAGTAAATCTGGCATTCAAAACAATTGCTTTGAAGAAAGCTTTTTATAGATTTAAGTAGTTTTCTGAAAAAACAGTCCACGTAAAAATGGTTTGGATTATTCCCTATTTCAAAATAAGACATTGTATGTTTTTGAAAAGTGAAAAATAGTACTCTTTGAAGCAGTTCTAGATACCACTCAAATCTTATATTTGTCGTTATTTTTTACTTTTTCAGGTGCCAGTTCAACAGATTCTGAGAGTGAAAGTTTAGCTTTCAAATCAAAACCTGGAGCCATGCCACAGTGAGTGCCCATGATCCCATCAGTTGTCTGTATAACAAAGACTGTCACGAGAATCACTGGGGTACAAGGCAGCACGCATTGTGCTGTGAGGGAAGAGGTCTGCTGATGTCAGTCAAATATCAAATAGCTGAATGTGAACACAGTTTTTAACGTTTGAATTTAGACTTTGAAGTCTGCATTTCATCCTAGAGATGACAAAATCAAACCATATACAATGTTAGTTTCAGTGACAGCTAACTGGTTATAAGCATATAAAAAGACAGTCACATTGAGAGGAAACTAGTTCAATCATTACCCAAATATAAAGGAGGACCGCTTTATTGAATCAAACTGGAAAATGTCTAATTAGGCCAGAAATGGGTTTCCATTTGAATAAAGTCTGTTACTAGTTAGAGCTAATGAAAATGGTAAAAATAGAGTTCTTCTTATGAAGACAGATGGGTTATTTCCCAAAATAATTATTATGTAAATTGATATTGATAATTAAGTTTTTGCAAAAATAAAATCAAACCTACCAGAATTTTGCAGAAAACTCCATGAATATTGCAACTGTGCTAATACATTTCTTTGCTCTGCTAGTATATATGTAACAATTCTATCTATCCAGGATCATATGTTCTGCCACCTGTGCCTTCAGATAAAGATCTCAAGAATAGTGAAGTTACGGTTACTTGCTTGAGGTTGCATGGCCAGCCTCTTAGCAAAGCTGAGCTTACCAACCAACTCTTCCTAACCTTTCCTGACACCTCACTAACTTTTGCGGGGTAAGGAGACAAAAATTCCAAGACATTCTCAACAAAATGAGAAACCAGAACAAAGAAGAGCCGCTAGACTTAAAATAGACCACCAAAACTATGAATTAAGTACAGAACCCTAGCCCTAGGACTTTGTCCAGATATTTTCTTTTCTCTTAGGATTTCCAAGTTAAAAGCTTTAGGTTCTCTGATAATGGCTGAGTTATATGTAGCTATTTTTCTTTTACCCATGTGTTTATTTTGGTAAATTCTATAAGGTCCATTCAATGTACGTATTGACCATAGCTGTTGTAACTCTAGCTTATGGCTTCCCATTTCTTTTTTTTTTTTTTTTAATGTTTTATTCATTTCTAGGAGAGAGAGAGAGAGACAGCGCGAGCAGGGGAGGGTCAGAGAGAGAGGGAGTCACAGACTGAAACAGGCTCCAGGCTCTGAGCTGGCAGTCAGCACAGAGCCCGACGCGGGGCTCGAACCCACGAACCGCGAGATCATGACCTAAGCGAAAGTCCGACACTTAACTGATTAAGCCACCCAGGCGCCCCAGGCTTCCCATTTCTGAAGCACTTACAATTGAAGTGGATTGAGGTCACAAAAAGAAACTGAAGTATTCTGTGGAAATCTTTCAAAGAGTAATTCCTGATTTAAAAAAGTTCTGAGGCGCCTGGGTGGCTCAGTCAGTTAAGTGTCCGACTTTGGTTTAGATTGTGATTTCGTGGTTCGTGGTTTAGAGCCTTGTGTCAGACAGGCTCTGTGCTGACAGCTCAGAGCCTGGAGCCTGCTTTGGATTCTGTGTCTCCTTCTCTCTGTACCTCCCCCACTCATGCTCTTTCTCTGCCTCTCAAAAATAAACATTAAAAATAAAAAAATTCTGATGGAACATACTTGCCTCTTTATTTTCCAGAGCTCAAAAGAAAACAACTTCTGTTTCCTTGACAATAGGATCATCATCTCCAAAGACAGGAGTGACCACAGCTGTGATTCAACCATTATCTGTCCCTGTTCAACAGGTAAGTCCTTGGACTGGAGACCACAGGGAGTAAAACTCCTTAGCAAACTTCTTGAAGCAAACTTCACGATGACAGCTTTGATTCCAACTAGTACACTCCCTGCAATAATTTTTTAAGTGGGAACACAATGGGAAGGAAAGAAAATGGTAGGTAAAGTTCTTCCTCTTAAGCCACTAAAAAATAATCTTTAATCAAAACCTGTCACCAGTTAGTCAACGTCTGCTTTCCCATTGGGAATGTCTCTAAAAGCCAGTAACCTGATAATATGCTATCTTGTTTAGCTATGGCTATTTGATTATTCTTCCACAATTGTGCCCTCTTCCATTTACCCAAATTTATTAGCTCATTTAAAATAGAAGCAAGAAAAGTCCACATGCCAACAAATTTTTTCCAAGAGCTAAACACAATAATAATAAAATTCAAATTCCTTGGCCCAACCAAGCATTTTTACCCTGATTTTATTTCATTACAAGAATGCCATATCCAAAAAAAAGAACAACAATACAAACTACTGGAAGGTAATAGTGAGCTTACTTTGCAGATACAAACAAGAATTTAAAAAGAGCAAAGCAAAAAAATTAGAATCTAAATGTTTTAATCAGATGTATGTTACTTTGCCTTTGTGCTATGATGTGTATATTTAAATACAACACTCACAAAAGCCTTCCCTGCACCCACCCTTGAAATGTAAATTAATTCCTAACTAATAGCTGTGTTTTGTGAGCATCACCAAGCCCTCTATCTATTGAACACCCAGATGTTTTAATAATTGTAGTATGTGATGTATAGTCCGGGATCTGTGGAATATGGAAACAGTAGAGAAGAGATATTTGAGTTCATAAACTTGAAAGAACCAGCCAGTATAACTCACTTAAAGATGGCCTAGATATTTCCTTTAAACCCTAAACCAGAGTGGAACCTATAGAAACATATCTGATTAGATCAGTGGATTTTGTGTGTGTGTGTGTGTGTGTGTGTGTGTGTGTGTGTGTGTTTGATATTTAAGTACTGATAAGTGATGAATGCTTAGCACCATGCTAGGCATTTCATTGGAGGAAAAAAATAGGTCACCAGCCCTCATTCCCAGTTTATAAACTATGCATGGGGAAAGAGAAAATATAAAAGTATGAATATGGCAGAATATATGAAAAGCCTTAAGCAGAAAATATGTGTTTATATTTGTACCATAATAATGTAAACTGCACATTGTAAGTTTAAGTTCTATAGGAACACTAAATGGACTGTATAGGCAGGAGGCGGAAGGACTCACAGACACTCCATTGCTTTATTATTGTCAGCAACATCACATAAAGTTTAACATCCTGGAGCCAGATTGCCTGAGTGTAAATCCCAGCTCTACCACTTACTAACACTAAGGGACCTTGAGTAAGTGATGTATCCTCTCTATGCCTAGCTTCTTCATCTGTAGACTGAAGAAGATACCATCTGTCTCACAAGATTATCAGGATTCAGCTAGTGAATCTCCATGTAAAATTTACATCAGTGCCTGGCACAGACTAAATACTGTATAAGTGTTTAAATGGTCTTTGCACATAAAAAGACAATGAAAAGTGAAACCCAATCCTGAATCACAAGCCAATAAAAAGTCTTACAAGGATAATGAATAGGCCCTTTCCATCCTAGCATCCCTACAACTGCCAACATTCTTGATAACATCTTGTCATATTTAGACACATAGTATCAGATCACTATCATCTGGGGTGAAAAAGCTACCAATTGCTTATATAGAGTGGAATAAACCCAAAGTGCTTGAAAATAAATAAATGTAGAAGGAGAAATCATTTCCATTCGTTACTCTGGAATCCTTCTATTTCCTCAGAGATGAGTGCCATTCAGTAAGTATTTCAGCACCTTTGTTTTTTGCACATCAAGAAAAAACAATATCTTCCTTTTTAACTTCCTGTAATTCCTTATATGAAAAAAGAGTACAAGTTAAAAGTAAGGTGGGGAGATGTTCGATAATTTATCCTCCACTGCCAGTAACTTGTGCTTTTAATTCGATGAATCCAGGCTGTATTTAAAAATAAAATATAATGTCTGTGAGAAATTTGGAAACGACCCCTGTGGAAGTCCCACACACAGAAATCCATTTGGTAATGGCATTTAAAAGCTCATGGATCCCTAAGGAACCAGGGAACTTTTACCTTGAATATCCTTTTGAGTAGAGAAGAGTAACAGATGTGAAATGAGGGTGTAGAACAATGTTTGTACTGTATGTAAGAGTAGACCAGCAAAATGATATATGGTATATTTTCTTTCCCTTGTTTCATTCATGTGGAGCTGTCCCAATAATGAAAGGTTTCTTTAGCCCATCTTTTCAACAATTTATATATTCAGAATTTGATCCATGTGTCTCTGCGTTTTCAGGTTCACAGTCCAACCTCGTATCTCTGCCGACCTGATGGAACCACTCCTGCGTGCTTTCCTCCTATTTTTACAAAGGTCTGACATCTGCAAGCCTCATTCTCTGTGTTTGCTTTGGTCCTTTAAGTCCATTCACATGGATTCACATGTGGCTTCATGTGGCAGTCTTTAAAAATTAAGACGAACAGATCAGTAGGCTGTCATGGTTACCTTTGGAGCCAAATAGGTATTTACTGAACAATTCCTGTGTGATTATAATCTTGTGAAGGGTCTGAAAAATGTGGGCATGGTCAGTGATAGATAGAGGTTACACAACAGAGTGGGGAAGCCAAGATAGGCAGGTAGAAAAAGGCAAAATGTTGTATTGGAAATTGCTTGGAAGAACCTGTAATTTTTATAGAAAAGCTATAATATTCAATTTTTTTAAATGTTTATTTTTGAGAGAAATAGAGCATGAGCAGGGGAGGGGCAGAGAGAGAGAAAGAGACACAGAATCTGAAACAGGCTCCAGGCCCTGAGCTGTCAGCACAGAGCCTGATGCAGAGCTTGAACTTGGGAATGGTGAGATCATGACCTAGGCCAAAGTTGGACACTTAACTGAGTGAGCCACCCAGGTGCCCCTCAATTTGTTCTAAGTTTGTGTTTTGCCTTGCCAAGCTGAGTGATCTACGTTTCATTAGTCAACTGCTCAACTCAGAAATAGCTCCCTATAGCATATCTTCTCTCTTTTTTTTCTTTTGAGAAAATTATAAACCTTTATTGAAAGACATCTAAAAAGGTCTAAATAAGTGGAGAGAGAGATCCTGTCTGTGGATTGGAAGATTGGTCAAGAAGCCATGACTCTCAGATTAATGTATAAATTTAATGCAAATCTAGCTGAAATTCCAACAGGTTCCTTGTTCTATTTGTTTGTTTTGAATTGGAAGTTGGCAATTTGATTCTAAGAAAAACCCAAAAATAGCCAGTGTACTCCTAAAGAAGGAAAATCATATGATGGTAAGGAAGGAGTGGGATTTGTCCTTGGAGATGTCAAGACTTTGTAAAAGTATAGTAGGTAGGGCAGTATGGTGCTGGCATAAGACTAGACAAATTGGCAGGTAATCAGAACAGAACCCATAAAGATACTCCAGTATTTACAGAAACCTACAGATCACCGGGTAAAGAATGAATTCCGCAGCAGTGATAAAAATATATATTAAATTGGACTCCTATTTCATACTTTTTACAAAAATCTTCTCCCAGTAAACTAAAGACAAATGTGATAAGCAAATCCATAAAACATGCAAGGCAGAAGGCAAGGAAAAGAGCATTTTGCTTGTCGTCTTGGAGGGAATGATTTTTTTTCTTCTAAGCCAGCCTGTATCCAGCTTTATTAAAGATCTTTCCATAAATAGAATATTTACTGTAAGACATGGCAACAAATGATAATATTTGACAACAACTTGGAAAGCCCCTTCCTGGATAGATTACCAAAAAAAAAGAAAAAGTTGTGTAAAACCGTACCAAAAACACCACTCTAGTAGTCCATGAAGTTGTCCTTCAGTGCTTAGGAACCACAAATGTTACCAAGGTGTGGGTAATTCAGGTGCTGTGTGGTTTTAGAGCTTTTTGAAAGCAACTTCATCAGAGCATCACCAAGGAATCTATGTTAACTGATGTATTGCTACCCAAGACACAGTTGATTTTGAGGGTCCCGATGAACCTCTTGATTTAAATAAAGAGGATGTGAGATTTTGCTTTCCCTCACTATAGGGCTTCACCACAGTGGCCTGGCATATGGAGATGGTAGGGAATTCCTCCTGGGCACCACAGAAATCCTCAAAGCTAGACCTAGAACCTTGTTCCTCCATTGCGTCCTAGCTCCTGAGACATTGACATATTAATGGTATATATCTCCTTTCTCCAAAAGAAAACCATGAAACATACTGTGTGCTAAACATACAGCTTAGTAAAAAGAAACCTAAAACAAAATTCTATGTTTGTATAAAGGTTGATTTAAAAAGACACAGTTGTGGAGGGACTGGCAGCATAGAGCACCCCTCCCGAGCATCTCCAGTGCCTTCTGCCTTCTGTGTCTGGGCTGTAGACCATCTCTGTTTTCTGCAGCATTTCTTCCTTCCTTGCATTTGCTTTCCCCTTCATCCTTTTGGGCATCTTTTCTCCCTGCTTTGCTGGGTCCTTTTGGGGGCTGTGCTTTGGTTTTGGAGGCGTAGGTCTAGAAAATAAATCTGCTGATCTCCTTTGTGACTCAAACTAGGCTTCCCTTTGTCACCCTTAGCATCTTTGTGGGTATGATGGTGACAGTGGATGTCAGGTGGGCTTTGTCAGTTGAAGAGGTGCCTCCATCCATACCTGCTACTACCTACTGGTAAAGATTTCCAGGTTTCACACCTGGTCAGAGGCAGAGCAGAACTTGTGCCTGTGGGCCACTGTGCTTTCGGGCAGCAGAGCTGGCGTGGACTATGGGCCTTTGGACAGTAGGGACTCAGGTGAGACCAGGAGAGCAGCTAGCCTCAGATGGCATTTCTTGCCTAATAGTTGGACCCCTTCAAGGAATCGCAGTATCAAGTGGGCTTGGTATATGACATGTGATACCCTTATGTGGATCTGAAACAGACTCAGGAGTCCCAAAGTTTACCGAGTGGATGATGCAGGTTGCCAAGCACAACCTCTGAATGCTGGCTTTTCGTCTCCTTCAGTGCTCATTATGTTCCTGCAGGTTCTCCTAATGGCTCATTCCCCTTGGCTGTGGCTTTTCTTGAGATAAAAACGTTTGCTCCAGGGCGCCTATGTGGCTCAGTTGGTTAAACGTCCAACTCTTGGTTTTGGTTCAGATCATGATCCTATAGTTGGGGAAATTCGAGCTCCACTCTGTGCTGACAGTGTGGAGCCTGCTTGGGATCCTTTCTCTCTACATCTCTCTCTGCTCCCTCTCCTACCCCATTTCTCTCTTAGCATAAATAAACTTTTAAAAAAAGTTTTCCCCAGGTGGAGTCAAATTGTAGTTCTGGAATAACTGGAGTTTTGACTCATCAGGTCCTTGGCATCCTACCCATTTTCTGTATCTTTAACTGTCCAAAGTTTGAACAAAAACACAATCCTAGGAATAAGTCAGAGTTTCCTCTGGTGCCTGAAAGCTAAACAACAATATTTATGTACCATTTGAAATCTACCACGGCAGCTTCCTCACAAGCCTGGAAGTGCGTAATATAATGAATCCACACAACCTGGAGCCTGTGGGCGACACTTTGCCTGCTATGACCCATTAAATTGGCTTTTCTCTGGACCAGATCACCAAAGTGAAAAAGTCCATTTAAAACCAGAGATTTCATACATTTAAAAAAAAAAAGGAGAAAGAATGCAATCAGTAATAATCTTAATCTTATTACTTAAAAGACATTAACTACTGAAATTATCAAATGCCTTCTCTGGACTTAACACTAGACTTTTGCCAACATCTTTGACTTTGAGAATTTCCTTAGAGCTCCTACACACTCACTGAAGGCCATTTGCTGTGACATTTGTTTTTCCCAACAGGCCATTTGTCGTCCCTTCAGATAATCTTAAATAAACCCACAGTAAATAAAATAGAAAAGACCACGTAACTTCTTAACTTGAATTTGTTTGCTTCTGGTTGATGTGCAGGTGAATTACTTTGTCAATTCACAATTAATAATTGGAATTATTTCAAGAGTTCTACATGACTTATGTAAGATCTCATGCTCTGAAGTCAGAAGTTTAAAAAGTCAAAAAGTTGAAGCTGAAAAGTCAAAAGTTAAGTTTAAGCCATTGCTAGGTACTCCTGGAGAAAGAAGGTAGAGAGAGGACCTTTGGAAGGGACTGGGCATCTTTTGCTATTTAATAATACGTTTAAAAGCTTTTACCTCTTTGCATCTGTGAAGCCAAATTAACTTCTAATCTGTTGGACTGTAAAAATGTACTGGTCTGGAATTGGAGTGGGGTCCTGGGCAACAAGAATAATTGCGAAGGAAGAGGAAATGAAGGTCATGGAGGGAGTACTGTGCGTTTTATTGTTTTACTCAGAACTTCAAAATGAGAAAATCCCCGAGCCCCTTGTGTTAATAAACGTGACATAGGAAACCCATTGGCAAAGGTGGCACTGAGGGCGGTACATGGAAAGGTTGGAGGATGAGAAAACAAACGTATGCCTTTTCTTTCCTTCCTGTCTGGTTTTCCCCGGAATCTACGTTCATATAGAATATAATGGCTTTGGGAAGTTTGCATTCCACCAGCTAACTCTTAAATGTAGATAGAGAAAGATAACAGGCATTGTCATAAAATTCCATAAACATGAAAGTGGCAATAAATTTGCAGAGAGACCTGAGGCCCAGCAGTAATCTGATTACATGGAGATTATGAAAAGCTGACAGTCAATGGATTTAAAGGAGTTTCTTTTTACCTGAGTCAGTGGTAATTATCTTATGATGCAAGTTTTGCATTTTTTCCCCCCCAGGAAGCTTTGGAAGCTTTATTTTCTGTTGTGAAATTGTGGAAGGGTGCAGCAATCTAACGGGGAGTGTTTTCCTTGAATTGTAGGAACTGCAAAACATAGCTGCATCAGAGGGTCAAGTGGTGGTCCTGGAGTGCCGGGTCCGAGGAGCACCCCCTTTGCAGGTCAAGTGGTTCCGACAAGGGAGTGAAATCCAAGACTCTCCAGACTTCAGAATTCTACAGAAAAGTAAGGAGAGGTGCCCATTCTCCCATATCCATCCATTTTCTTCTCTCATGCTCCTAAGAAACCAAGAAGGGTTTAGTCATTTGGACAAATTGGGTTCTAGTTTTGAAGAGAAGTAGGAGCTGATAACCTGAGAATGTGTGTGGTCTGGTAAATTGAAGTGGTGGCAGTTGCTTGTGTAACCCTTTGAAAGTCTAATGAAAGTTGTATATACTTTCTTCAAAAAAAAATATTGCAGACCTCAAACTCAAAGTTGGGCAAATAATTTGAGCAGGCATACAAGCCTCCTATAAGCCCCTCTATGGATTGTGGTTTAAACTTTCCTAGTATAAGCTGTTACTGGAATTTGGGTTTCTGTATTTCTAGAAATATAAATTGATCTATCGCTTTATCTCTTTTGTACTATGGAGTTCCCTATATTCTGTAGACACGTCCTAGACAGAGTAATAGAAAAAGATAGGTGAGTTTATTATTAATGGAATCCTATTCTAATACTCTATTTTGATTTATTTTTTCCTCATGTGGCAAACAGAACCTAGATCTACGGCCGAACCTGGTAAGAAGCTTTTTCTTTTTGTTCTTTGGTAACGTATCTTTTTGGGTTTCAATAGTTCTTTGTCTCAGTTTTAAAGCCATAAGCAGAACAATGTTTTTGCAGTTCCCTGGAAATACAAACCCCCTTAAAGACAATATCTTCTTTATCATGGGGTCTGTACACTGCATTTTACATCAGCTTCTTTATTAGTAAAACATTAAGTTCCATTCAGACAAGAAGGTCAAGCTCAGTGATTTAAGGCTTTTTAAAAATCTAGTCTTTTATATTCAGAACACAAAGAGAGTTAATGAAAAAAATCATCCTAAAATTCCAGTAGAAAAGAACCATCTGCTACATATTTCTGCTGACCAAAGCCCACAAACAGCTCGACCCTCCAGCTTAGAAATGTGTCTCACATGAGAGCAGCCCAGAGATGTAAGCAAAACTGACCACCGGTATTTCTCATTTATGTAGCCTGAGCCATAAACTTGTACTATTCTCCAAGCATGAAGAAAGTCATTGTGCCCTTAGGATCTCTCTTAATTACCAGGTCATTTGACCTCGTTAGAGTGCTGTTATCCAGAAGCACCAAATCCAACTCTTCTCCTGCTTTGGACTTCTTGGATATTTTTGAATCCTCATGAACTAAAACAACGTTTGAAAAAGAAACGATAATTTTTCTCAGTGTATTTCAGACGACACCCACCTCAACAGTACTTTTGTGTTTCTCCCCCGGCAAAATTTCACTTTACTCCTTGACAAAATGTTGAAAAACTGATTTGTGCCTTCCTTCAGCTTTGAGCGGATTCTGCCATTATGTCCTTTAAGAGCCGTGGCTTTGTTCTGTCCCTTCTCTGGCAACTTGAAGGTTCTCTGTGGGCTACTGCCATTCAGGTTACTGTGGTTAGTCCAGGACCTCTCACATCTGAGCACTGGGACACTGAAAGTAGGGTTTGATCCTTTTAGGATCCAAAGATCAAAGGGTACTGAGTAGCATCCTTAGGACTATTGGAATTGATCTAGTGCCTACTTGTCATGATTATAACCAGAGATGTTGCCCCACTTAATGTGTCAGTCACCACACCAAATACTGTAGTCACTTTCCAAAACATAGAAATAGATAACTTCATATTCTGTGATATGTCTTTATATAAAATTGCATCTTGGGGCACCTGGGTGGCTTAGTTGGTTAAGGGTCTGACTTCAGCTCAGGTCATGATCTTGCAGTTCCTGAGTTCAAGCCTTGTATCAGGCTTTGTGCTGACAGCTCAGAGCCTGGAGCCCGCTTCAGATTCTGTGTCTTCCTCTCTCCCTCTGCCCCTCCCTGCTCACGCGCTCGCTCGCTCGCTCTCTCTGAAAAATAGATAAATATTAAAAATTGCATCTTGCTGGTTCCCTGACACATGGAACTTCTGAGACTCCATCTACTGCATGAGCTAAGATGTTAGGGCACATCTTGTGTTTACTATTTTAAATAGACTTACTGACATACATAAAAGTAGGAGCCAGATACCTCTTTATTTACAAAAAAGTTGATGTGAAAAACTCATGGACCATTTATATCTTTCTATACTTAATGTATAAATTGAAGTTTTGGGCCACAAATTCTAGAAGCATTATTACTGGAACAGATTGCTCCTTTTGATGTTGCATTTTAGATTTTGTGAAAATTCATGCAATTCCTTTTCATCATGTTGTTATCCTTCGTCATCACCTATAGAGGTGACAATGATTTATGAAATATTTCCCATGATCTGGGTTGGAAAATCATAAACTAACCATCATCCAAAAACTCACAACACTGGTTAGAAATTGCATAGTTTAGTTTCTGAGTACATATGTATTTGAAAATTGAAAACACTCTATATACTGGCTAAGAAGGAATCCATTTGGGTGAGGAGGGAGAATAGAAATGTCTCCTACCAGACCCTCTTCCAGCCTCTTACCCCTCAAACCACAAACTCTCTTTCAATTACGATTTGCTGTTTTACTTCTAGAGTATAGTTTTGATCATCACTATTTAATAAAAATTAGTTCTCAGCAGCTTCATGGATAAAATGACCTCTAGACATACTTCAATATCCTTTTAACATGGCAAAAGCATAAAGAAAAGAGCAAGATAATAGGGGAGCTTTCCCTTTCAACTGCATATCCTAGCAATATAAGTTTCTCCTCTTCATGTTCACTGAATGTTCTTATTTTTCCCCCTTTAGTTAGATCTAAAGGCATTTAAGAAAACAGGGGTGCCTGAGTGGCTCAGTTGTTGAGTGTCTGATTCTTGATTTTGGCTCAGGTGGTAATCCCAGAGTCATGGGATTGAGCCGAGTCAGGCTCCACGCTGGGCATAGAGCCTGCCTAAGATTGTCTCTCTCCCTCTCTCTGTGCCTCCACTTCTCACAACGTCTCTCTCTCTCTCTCTCTCTCTCTCTCTCTCTCAAAAAAAAAAAAAATAAATAAAAAAGATAGAAAACAGACTCTTCCATTCCAAGGACAAGAATAGAATTTGCTGAAAACAAATATTTCTTGGTATAGAAATATGTCAGTGAAATCTGTCAATATAAGAAAAAAATGGGCACCTTGGTGACTCAAGTGTCCAACTTTGGCTAAGGTCATGATCTTGCGGTCTTCAGGTTGGAACCGTGCATAGGGCTCTCTGCTGATAGCTCAGAGCCTGGAGTCTGCTTCGGATTCTGTGACCCCCCCTCTCTGTCTGCCCCTTCTCTGCTTGCTCTCTGTCTCTGTCTCTGTCTCTCTCTTTCTCTCTCAAAAGTCAGTAAACAGTGACCAAAAATTTTTTAAGAAAAGAAAAAAACTTGTATATAGTGAGGAGCTATTAAAAACAAAACACATGTGGTGCTAGTGACTCATTTGGTTAAGTTTCCGACTCTTGATTTTGGCTCAGGTCATGATCTCAAGGTTCATGAGTTCAAGCCCTGCATTGGACTCTGTGCTGACCACATGGAGCCTGCCTGGGGCTCTCTCTTTTTCTCTCTGCCCTTCCCTTGCTCTCTCTGCCCTACCCTCTTCTCTCTCTCAAAATAAATATTTAAAAAAACACAGCTAGTTTTCTCTGATCTTTAATAACTTGTCCACAATTATATTTATTACATTACTAGAATTGCTCATTTCTCTTTTATGACAGAGCATTAAAATACTCTCCATCAGGAAATCTACAAAAGGCATGTAGTATTAAATAAAATTCATGATCATATTTTTTAAATAAACCCCTTTAAAAACATGAATTCCAATGGACTGCTTATGTGAGGTGTTATGAGTGAGAACTTCAGAACAAGCAAATGTTAAAACATAATTTGTATTTAAACAATATTTTGGCATGCCTGACAAAACTAAGTATGATTATGATCCTTTTACTAGTAGCCAATTGCTTTCCTTACATTGAGCTTGGAGTTGACCATTGACATTGTTGGAAAAAACAACAAAGTATTTTGAACTGCTTACTTGCCTTAAGTGACCCGATTGACTATCCATTAGGCCACTGAACTATTCAACCATATAAAATGGATGCAGGAACTGGCTTCCCCGATCGCCGTTTTGTAGCCGCTGTTAAGTGGAAAGGAGAAAACCAGACATGACTACAGTACATCTGAGGAAAGAGATAAATTTTATAGGACTAGGCCAGTGATGTTTTCCAAATGCTAAGACATAAATAGTCTTTGAAATTCAGGAAGATATTTGAGCATTTGGATTTTATTACCCTCTCTTCCTACTCTCTCCAGTCCTCTGGCACATTCACTCTTGCTCTCTCCTCACTAGCTGGTGCTCAATCTCTCTCTTCCTCTCTCACTTCCTTTCTGCTTTTCCCTACTTCATTCTTTTTATCTCTTTACTCTTCTTCCTTTTTAAAGTCATGTCTTAGAGCTCTAGAAATGAAATTCACTAGCACTTAGATATAGCTCCATCAGGGATTAGATATTCAGATAAAAAGGAACCAGCAGATTCTCTCCTAATGCATTTGAGAGACTGAAACAGGTTTTTCTTGTCACTACTGTGTTGTATTTGTCTAATGTGTTTTACACTCCCTTCTCTGTCTAGACAGAAGTCAGCTTGCGTCACAAATCTTTTCAGACTGTTTTGTGAATTAATAGCTAGTCAGCTTACTTAAGACCAACATCCGTTTGTCATATTACCTGCTTTGGCCTCTTTCTTTGACATTCTGACTTAAACTGATTGAATCCTTCACAGACTAGTCTGGGGTGGAGGTGGTGTAGAGGGCACAGAACATTCATTTGACAGCTGTTAATACTCCGTTCCTTACTCAGCTGTCTGGAAGTAGCCACAAACTGTATTGAGTTACTTCTATAGCATTGTCTAATGGTATGCAAAATTAAAAGTCCTGTGTCTTGCTGGCTGGGGAGTTACACATATAAAAATATGATGCCTTGTACTTTGAGTATAAATCTCTGCTAACCAAATGCCTCCCATCATCTTAGATCTTCTATAATAGAATCCATGTTTTGATCCTGTGATTCAGAATGTGAAATTAATTATACTCGTTAGATGTACTAAGGTGTTGAGTTGTCGGAGGGCAATGGTAAGGATGTTTGAGATCCCAGTAGATTGTACATAGTTAAAAGCTTAAAGGTTAACCAAAGTTTAACCAAAAGTGGATTGTGTGAAACCTGTGGTTCTTAAACTGTGTGACAAGGTGTCCTGGGGCACCACACAGATTGACAGAGGTGCTGTAATGTTTGAAATTTTGATGCAAGAACAATGATCCTCAGCATCTGATAGACCCACCTGTTAGCTTGAAGCAGTTCAGAGTTTCAACATGAGGTCACTCCACATTCTTTTTATGACATTATATCTTTCTGAAACTGAATTTTTGTTGTGTACATGTGCTAAACAAGTAAGTGCCACATGAAAATCAATGAACGTGAAATGAGACTAGCTGTGTATTCCATCTGATCTCAAGAGTTCTGTAGTACCCAACAGATGCATGCATTCGTTAGTTAGTAGTTGCAGCTATTTAAGAATAAAATATTTTTTCCATTTATATGTAT